CTGTAGATATTTAGCTGACCTCTCAGGGTCAACCGTCTTGTCAATTCTAAGAACGTTAATTTCCTGGTTAAAGGAAATTACTTTCTTACTGTACAATTCTATAAGTTTTTAACGTAAATCTGCATGATTATTGACTCCGGTTATGAGTAAACAATGAACATGTCAAGTGTGATACAAGTAAGGTTTTATTAACTACATAAACACTTAAACTAGTCTAACATACTACCTAAACACATTAAGCCGGTCTAACATACACATACACACACACACACATACAGTTGGTATAGGAAAGGGTTAAACTTTAACCCTTTCCTATACCAACTGTATGTGTGTGTGTGTGTGTATGTGTATGTTAGACCGGCTTAATGTGTTTATGTAGTATTGTTAGACTAGTTTAAGTGTTTATGTAGTTAATAAAACCTTACTTGTATCACACTTGACGTGTTCATTGTTTACTCATAACCGGAGTCAATAATCATGCAGATTTACGTTACAAACTTATAGAATTGTACAGTAAGAAAGTTATTTCCTTTAACCAGGAAATTAACGTTCTTAGAATTGACAAGACGGTTGACCCTGAGTGGTCAGCTAAATATCTACAGTGGATCTAAAATATGAATAGTTAATTATAACTAGTTATGGTTAATTATTCATATTTCCTGTCATTGAGCTAAATTCGCTACAACTATAAAACCAAACAAACTCACTGCACTGTTGTTTGTAGCACATAAATGTGTCTGACAGCCAGAATGACTTAATAAAACAACACGATGCAGTGTCTCGTTGATGTAAGGACTTTTTCCACCTTTACTCAAATGTGAGGTAAGCTATATAGAGATTTGGATGATCCCATTTTAAACTCATCTTGAGACACAGATTTCTTTGTGATATTTGCATCTAACATTTTCATGATAATTCATCAATAACTTTTGTACTAAAATATGTCAAAATTACCAAAAAACATAGGAACAAAAAAAACCAAATGTACACAAAAATATCACATGCTCTTGGAGGTCTTACAAACATGTTATGATTAAATTATATATATATATACACATATACACACACACACACACACACACAC